TCTTAGAGAATAACAGATTTTCCAGTGGCAAACATTTTTTCGGCAAATACAGCGAAGAATTTTGACAAACTATTTTTCATCAATCATCTAGACTAGAAGAAAGTGATACGACCATACTGGGTACTCCATGAATAAGAAAACTACTGAGATTGCTTCAGCTAAGTCTGAGAGTGCTAAAATGGTGGTAACCAAACCAAGTGATGCACCAACGGAAACACCTTAAACAGAAAGTCCCTTAGAACAACAAATGAGGAGCTAAAACAGGAAATAAAAATATTATGTGAAAAAGTTAATTCATACAGTCAGTTATTAATAGAAAAAGATAGATTGATTTAGCAACTTGTGAACGAGAACACAAGATTTTAAGATCAGTTGAATTTATTGTCGACAAAGAAACTGTAGTTGACGCGCTCAAGAAACGGAATACTAGAATTGACATAATTGAAAAATCAAGTATGACAAGCACTTCGTATTCGCAAATTGTAAAAAAAGACCTATGCTACAAAAAGCAAGGAAATCTCATTGAAAATCATAGTGATTATACCAAGCCAGCAACAAACAAGCCTCAAGACGCGTAAAGATCTAGACAAAAACTTAAGCTTGTCTAAACTTCAAATCAAAATTGATGACGTGAAGAATTTTACAAACGGTGGTGTGGAAACTAAGGTCCACGAAAGTAATCATGTCCTGTTAAAGGAAGAAATTCAGAAAAAATTGCCAGCGTCGTACCAGGTGTCTGAACCAAAAATGTTTAGACTTAAAATTAAAATCGTGGGCTACCATCCAGATGAAAGAATTACCGAAGAAGAGGTAATAGAAGACATCACAGAACCATTTCATAGAAAAAGAAGATATTAAGATAAATTTTATTAAGTATATTGCACAGAAAAAAAATATTATTTACGCAGAGGTCACAGGTAATTTATAACAGATTTATGAAGATTATAATGGAAAAATTCTATTAGGATTTCAAAATGTATCTGTATACAAAAATAATGAAGTGTCTCAGTGCACAAATTGTTTCCGGTTTAATCATTCTTGGAAAGAATGCCCAAATCCTAAAGTCTGTGCTCAGTGTGGAGACAACCATGACACCTCCTTTTGTAAGCAGGCACATTTGAAGTGTTGCAACTGTTCGTATTCAAATCACCAGTATAAAAAATCTTACAGTACCGATCATCTTCCGACAGACAAAAATTGCCCAGTGTATGAATTCTTTCAACAAAGGCATCTCTCACAAATTTTATTTTGATCACTTTAGAATTATTTAGAATACTCAAAATCTTCTCTAAATTATGTAAGATTCAAATACTCTTAATGGCTGATAGTAAAATGCAAATCGGATACTTGAATGTACGTTCCCACATGTCTAGTTTTGATGCTATTGTAAATTTAATAGCATTAGAAGATTTTGATGTATTCGCTGTTACAGAGACGTGGCTAAATGAAAATATTACTGATGATGTGGTTGAACTATTGTTTCTTGCGTTGTGATAGAGAATATCGTGGTGGTGGAGTTGGAATCAATGTTAAATCAAATTTACATGCTGAAAAGGTAGATATTCATAAAAATTTTGGTGATTGTTTCGAAAGCATTTGGGTTAAATTGGTTGCGGGTAAGTGTGAACTGTTAGTAGGTGTTTTGTACCGACCACCCTCTCGAAACATACAACAATGTGCAGATTTATTAAATAGTTTCCTACCCAGCCTTTCGTTATATCATCATAACATCGTGATATTGGGAGATCTGAATATAAATTTTTTTAATAACAATATATTCTCACTGAGTTTTGAGATGATGGTGTTCACACAAATCGTAACGGAAGCCACCCGTGTCACAGATAGTAGTGCAACATTAATCGATCCAATATTTTAAATAATTCTCAAACAAGCAGCTATTCTTCCGTCATGGACACGAATGGTATTTCGGACCACAAACTCGTATTTTTTCATTTCGATATTCCGTCTTATAAAAGAAAACAAAACATCATAAGCAGGGATTTTAAACATTTCAGTGAGCATCATTTTCTTATCGATCTTTCTACATCGGGCATAGACGAATTATTTACGAAATCTAATATTGATGAGAAGGTAATGCACATGACAAGCGTTATCGTCGAGACCTATAATAAACATGCACCTTTTAAAACTGTAAGAGTTAATAAGCCACCATCACCTTGGTTAACTAATGAACTCCGCACTGTTCTTGATGAAAAGAATACTGCACAAGCTTTATATAAAGCTAATAAGACCGTGGACGCCTATAATAACTTTAAATCGCTTCGAAACCGTGCTCTTAACATGATTAGGACGGACAAAAAGACATATATCGAAAACTTGGCAAATGAAAATGGTTCAAAAAAATTGTGGAAGTCTTTCAAACAACTTGATATAAATTTTCGTAGTAAACCAGCCCTTCCAGCAAGTTTTAATGACCCTACCAAAATTAATGATTATTTTATGTCTATTTATAGCTACAAACCTGTTGATTCACTAGTTTGCGAGAACGATTTCAAAAATAAATTAAGCTCTGAATATATTTTTTCATTGAATAAGATTAGTTCAAATGACGTATTACACGCAATAGCGAGCACAAAATCTGATGCGAAGGGAATTGATGGTATATCCCTGGCAATGATCCAGCTTTGCCTACCAGTTATTCTCCGTCACATCGTCCACATCTTTAACGACTGTTTGGAAAAAGGCTACTTTCCAAATACATGGAAACAAGCTCTAATTATTCCAATTCCTAAAAAAATGAAACCCACTGAGTATAATGATCTCAGACCTATCAGTTTATTACCAATTTTATTCAAAATTTTAGAAAAAATTATAAAGTTCCAATTGACCACTTACCTAGAAAAATTCTTTATACTTCCCGACACTCAATCCGGTTTTAGAAAAAATTATAGTACAACATCTGCCCTACTCAATCTGACAATATTTTAAGTGCCTTAGATAAGAAAATGGCACTAGCCTTAATCTCTATAGACTATTCGAAAGCCTTTGACAGCATCAATCATAAATTATTACTTGCTAAATTAAATTACATAGGTCTTGACAGTGTATCCCTTTCATTTTTCGACAGTTATATCAAAGAATTCAGTGTGTTTTTCTCAATCAAGAAATGTCTCAAGAGACAATGATTCCCTCAGGCGTACCTTAGGGCTCTGTATTGGGGCCGCTTCTGTTCCTCATATATACGTTCGACTTAAACAAAAGTATTGATAATTCTCATGTCCAGTCATTTGCAGACGATACTCAATTGCTCCATTATTTTAACCCAGATAATGTCAATCATACTACTCAAATTTTACAAAACGATGTTAACAAATTAATTAAATACCCTTTAGATCACAATCTACTTATTAATCCACAAAAATCTAAAATTTTATTATTTTGCGCACAGAGAAAAACATAGAATGTAACACAGCTCTTGAACATTCAGATAAATAACCAAATCCTGCAATTTTCTGATTCTGCAAAAATTCTTGGCGTTGTTTTTGATACAAAATTGGTTTATCCAAAAAGGCAATAAAATTTGTGGCATTCTATTTAAGAAATCACAACTTTGATATGTAGGTCAACATTGAGACACCCTGTATAATTACCAAAATTTTAGAAACGTGCCCTCACATGTCACGTATAACATGCCATTAATAGATTAATAGAACGTTTTGAATCAAGTGTTGCAGTGGAATATAGTAAAAATGTATAAATAATCCAAGTGTCACCAATGACGCGAATCAGTTTGAGAGTTTGAGGTTCTATTAAAGTTGCAGGAAAATCCCCATTTAAGTACACGGCAAATTGGAGCAGAAACTGATATATGCAGAACTCCTGTCCAAAGGATTATTCACAAGCATAGGTACCATCCATATCACCTATGCTTGCATGAAGACCTTCTTCCTCAGGACCTCGCAGCTCGAATTTAGTTTAGTAGAATAATGCGGAATAAAGTGAGTGAAGACACTACTTTCCTGGAGAAGGTTCTTTTTAACGATGAGGCAACTTTTAACAGCATAGGTGTTGTCAACAGGCATAACATGCACTAATATGCGACGGAAAACCCTTACTGGATTAGGCAAATAGATTTCCAAAATATATGGAGCTTGAATATTTGGGAAGGAGTTATTGACAGACAAGTTATCGGGCCTTCCTTCTTCGACTACAGATTAAGAGGTACAGATTACTTGAATTCTCTGATCGAGCATTTGCCTTTGCTTTTGGTGGATGTCAACCAACAAACTCGGATGCATATGTACTTCCAACATGATGGCGCACCTGCGCATCATCAAAAAAGCTTATAACATTTCGATCCAAACTTGCACAAATATACAGGCATTTGAAATTTTTCAGACAAAGTACAATTCGCATTTTGACCACCCTGTATGAGCAAAAATGAAAATTCGAAGAAGTTACAAATAAGGTAAAAGCTGAGGTGTGCAAGTTTTTTTGATACAAAATTCAGCACTCCAAATTTCAAAATGACGGATTGACGGGTTGCCGAAGTGGACGGTTTTTCTAGACAAAACACCTTACATCTCAGTATCTGATTACCAAAACCGCATCTTTTTGGTTTGAATTGGTTTGTCCAAATATGTAATAAAATTTGAGGCATTGTATTTAAAAAATCACAACTTTGATATGTAGGTCAAAATTGGGACACCCTGTATAATTGCCAATATTTTAGAAATGTGCCCTCAAATGTCATGTATAAAATGCCATAAATAGATTTTCCCAAAATGTATTTGTTTATGAGTAATATTCCGTCTATACATGGATGGGCCACCCTGTATATATATATATATATATAAAAATACAAGTTTGGTTATTATCTCCAAGACTGTAAAGAATCTATCAAAAATGACAAATGTTAAGAATGATCCTGTATTTCAAAAACAAAGCGAGTCATGGGAGTTTTGTTCACGGCACCTTTAATTTCACAAGAAAAGTAATACAATGACATGAAAATTGCCACTATATATATATATATACAGGGTGTCCCAGAAGTCGACGTCAAGCCGAAACCGGGTGATAGGCAAAGTCATAACAGCTATCAGAAAAATATTTAAAAAAATTTTATGTATGTGTTTTGAAAATTATAGGTCTTTGAAAAAGATATAGAAATTTCACACCCTACGGCAGTCTGTCAACTCCTGTTACTACAAATATAAACTTTTT